AGTACCACAGCCCAGAGGTCTGACAGGGCTTCGCCCGTCATTCCCCCCCTTGGGAGTTGCATGTTGCGACCCCAGGACTCTGTTCTGGTCTTGAGGTCACTTCAAATGAATTCCGGAAGGAGCTTCCGGCAACCGCTCACTCAGGGCTTTACCGCCACTGCTGCCAGCCTCCAGTTTTCCAGCCTGGCTGCCAGTTCTGTTGGTGCCACTGCTGGTTCCACTCTTGGCCGTATCCGGCGGATCGCCAGTTTCTCCACTGCTCCTCAGCCCAGCTCGATCCCTGCCATTGCTGGTGGCTGTCGTAGCTCTGCCGATTCCATCGCCATTCATCTTGGTTCTGAGGGTGGCTTGGATCATCGGCTGGAGCAGCCGCTGCACTATCTTGGGGGTTGGTCCTCAAATCAGCGGTGCGCTGGGCTCTTCTCTGCGCCCTCTCGGCCTCCTTTCTCGCAAGATAGCCGGGTTCCAAAGTGGGGGGGTCTTGGATGATCCCAAGACCTCGGCATATCAGCCGGTGTGCAACCCTCCATTCGTGCGAGCTGTTGGTGATGCCTGGCCGCCCTTTGCCGCGACTTCTGTCGGATCCTCGCCTCTTCCGGTGAGAAACCCATCCGGATGTCGGCTGCGAACTTGCCTGGCTTGGTGGGCGGAGGAGCCTCGTCCGCTCGCAGCTTCAGGGACTTCAGGTACTCGGTACATCGTTGCCAGGATGAAACCCTCATCTTTGCTTTGACCTCTGCAGGCGCCCTCAGGTATGCTTCCATGCGATCACCAATCTCTTTCAGGAGATCCATGTCCTGTTGAAACTCCTCTGGAGTTCGATCGTCCTCCTGATCTCCCCAGTCGACTTCTTCTGAGGAGAAGAAAGGTGTCTCGACCGGAGCGGTCGGGCTTGATCTGGCTGGGCCAGCCGGTGGTGGGGTCCCCCCCGTCATGGCTTGATCCCTCGTCTCCTCGACCTTTGGCGCCTTGGCGGGGCTTTCCCCGCTGTCTCTTGCAGGCGGCTCTGCCATGGGGGCATCTTCATCCCTAGTGTCTTTGCTGACAGCTCTTTTGGGCCTTGCGTAGCTCCTCGGATCTTTTCCCCTGGACGTCATAGCTTCCCAGGCGGGCGGGAAGACCATCTCGGCAAGGTTGATCCTTGGGGATCCACCGCCCAAGCAGTCTTCCCTGACTGCTGTCGGCAACGGAGTCTCGACTTCTGGGATGGGTGCTAGGGTCTTCCTCTGCTGCCTCAGCTTTTGGTTGTTGTAGTGGAAAAGGAAGCTCTTCACTGCATCCAGTGCTTTCTGGTTGAAGGCATCATTTGCTTCCTTTCGATCCCCTTGGAGACCATCCGTGGTGTTCTCCTCATCCCAGTTCTGGCTGACCTCTGGCCAATCACAACTGGTCGGATCGACCACATCATGCCAGTCATCTTCGGAGTCTGGGTCTACGTTGACCAGCACATAGTCCTGTGAGGGGTCTTCCACCCTGTCCTCATGGTCACCGGGCTCTGGTGTTCCCAACCACAGCGCAGCTGGGCTGGCCCCTTTCCGGGCTCCTTGGTCCACCTCCATGGGGGCCGCCTCGGGCCGGATATCTTGCTTGTTCTGAGTTCCCTCTCCCTGGTAAGTTTGGGGATTTCTCTCAAACAGCCCCGAGGGTCGGAAAGGCTCTTCTCCTTCTTCGGCATTGGGGGCCCGTAGGTCCTCCCGCATTCCTTTGGTTTGGTATGCTTGAGCGGACCGCTCGAAATGCCTGGGAGTTCCTCCTACACTTTCCTCCGGTGTTCTTGGCTCGCCTGAGGGTGTTGACCCCTTTGCCTTTGGCGGAACAAAGCTTGGTGGCGGCGCCTTCCGACCGATTGCGGTCCCTCTCTCCTCCTGTTTTGGTGGGATGAAGTCCTTGGGCGGAGGAGGTGGTGGCTTCCTCAGACCCGCTGCTCCTCCTCCCTCCTGCTTCGGCGGTAGGAAGTCGCTGGGTGGAGGAGGTGGTGGTTTTCTCAGACCAGCTTTGGGTGGCGTCTTCGCCCTGGGCAATCTCTCATCCCTTGGAGGTGGCATGTAGCCTGGGGGTTTTGGCGGCGCCCATTGGTGGTAGTTGGACGATGGGCGTGGAACCTCTGACATGGGCGGAGGTTTTGGCATGTTCTCTGCTGGGGGGAACCTCGAGGTCGGCTTTGGCGTTGGTCCTTGTGCGGTTGAACTAGCTGGACCAGCTGTAGCCGTTTGCTGCTGTGGTCCCCATCCTGTGGCAGCTGGGCCGGCTGGATCAGCCGTAGGGGCGTGCGGTCTCGGGGCACTGTAGGATGGTGGGAACCTGGATGCTGGCTTGGGCTGGGTCGGTTGGTGCTCTGCCTGCGGACCCGGTGGTGGAGTAGTGGATCTCGATTCAAAGAAGTCTCGAGCTTCCCGAAAAGACGAGGAAGGCTCCCTCCTAGCCTGTTGTGCATAGCATCCCCGAGCCTGCCCTTCATCCTCGTTATTCCGGGGGTTATAGGCTCTGGTTGCCCCTGGCCTTGCTGGTGTTGCCCGGGCTACTGCTGCTGCCCTCGCCCTGGCTCTGGCGAGTTCTGCCGCTCTCTCCGCTTGCCACTGACGGAACTGCTCGGCCATCAGTGGGTCACTAAGGATATCCCTAGCGGTTGACATCCTCTTGAACTCTTCGGATTTCTCTTCCTGCTCTCCTATCGGCAAGTGGCTGAGCTTGTCTGGATGGTACGTTCTTGCCTTCATTCGGAACGCCTTGAGCACTTCGGGCGTACTGGCCCCTCGCCTGACTCCGAGGAGTCGATGCAGGTCTAGATCCGGGTTGTGTCTGAAAAAGAGGTGTGATTCCTCCAGCTTGCTAACTGGGGCCGCTTCCATGACGCAGCTTCCAGCACGTTCGCAGAAGGACACTCGTCGGTCTGGGGCCCAAGACAAAGATCTCGAGCCTAGAGTCCCACGATCGAGATCAGACCGATCTTGGTGGTTTCCAACGGGTGGACGATCGGCAGCCTGAGCCTTCTGACTAGGCAAGGTGATGACGTTGCTGCCTATCATGCCTTGGGAGATGCCTATCTGGGCTGTGTGGTCCTCATATAAATATGCATGAACGGCATCAGAGGTCCAGCCCCCGTATCTCTTCAACCTCTCAAGGTCCCCGGTAGATGCGAAGAAAGCTGTGGCCCCCCCTTTGCGGAGTGAATGAGACCCTGCAAGTTCCCCTGGGTATCCCGCAGCCAGTGCTGCCACCTTAATTAGGTGGGCTATCCCCTCTCGGTCGAGACCGGATCGGTCCGCGTACCGAAACAGCGGCTTTTCAAGCTCCGCACCTCTCCAACGATGAGGTTGTAGTGCTTGCAGTGTAGCCAAGGCCTCGACCGGACACAGATCTCCACCGGATCGGTGGTGTGAACGAGCTTGCCCACGACCGAACTGGTCTGTCTTGGAGGACCTGACTTGGATCACCACTTCATCTGCTACTGTCCCCAAACAGGCTTGACCCCCCTTATAGAAGGCAACATCGGCTGGGCGGATCGCCCGATCTAGCGGGTCTGATCCATCGCCATGCGGCAAGAGTTCACTGGCTCTCAGCATGAAGAACCACCCAGTCAACAGGGCCCCTTTAACCATGGCTTGGTCCGGTACGGTTAGACCCATTCGTTGGATGTGCTGGTTCAGCCACCTGAGCATAGTTGGGGTGACTGGGAGCTTTCTGGCTGGGGCCCCTTCCCACCTCTGCAGTCCCGCTACGGCGGACCACAGCCGTGGTTTCCCTGAGAGTGGGTCAGGGTAGCCGGCAGTAATGTGGGCATAACGGATAGCGGACAGCCTTTGTCTGATGCCCCCTATGGAGCGTCCCATGATTTGGTGGAGGAAAACCACGAACCTGATTAGCCTCTGTTCATCTTCATACCGAGCGGAACGCTCCTCTCCTGTGAGGAACAACGGTGACTTAGCCCCACTATTAAAAAGGACCCATTGCTTCCATCCAGAAGCATAGACTCTCCTAGTGGAGTCAGCTAGTTTAGCTAGCACTGCTTCCATGCCAATGTGGTCCAGGGCCTCGATGCCTTTAAGCCTTGGGGGGCCCACAGTTCCCTTTGGGGGGATGCTCCGCTTCTTCTTGTCGGTTTTTGGCTGGAGCAACCAGCTCGTGAGTGGGAGTCAGATAGGGTTTTTTAGCTTTTCCCTTTTTGGGGGCACCGGCTTTCCAGGAGGAACCAGCATGAGTGGGGGGGCACATAGGTTCTTTGATTTTCCAGGAGACCAGTGCCAACTCATTCGATGGTCTCTTGGGGTTTCTACCCCAAGCTCTCAGCCACACTTCAAGCTGCTCATGGGCTTGCATCTCATCAGGGTCATAGACCCCTGCTCGTGACCCCTCCCAGCGGTGCGTCGCTTGGAGCAAGCGGAAAGCTGCTTGCCAACCAGGTTCCCGTACCATGGCTTGCACAAGGTCGGAACGACCTGACGGAGGCGTTTCGTTCCACACAGCAGCTTCCCCACCTTGCATTTCCCACAGTTCTTCAGGGAGGAGTGGTCTCACATTTCCGGATCCATCTTCAAGCAGTGTTCCCCCTGGAACCTTTAAGGGATGCCCCCGGAGCCTGG